GGGGGTCTCTGGGGTGCCTCAGGTGCCGATTGTGGAGCTCCCGTGGGGATTTGGGGAGCACTGAGGCTCTCCAGGGCCCTGAACCCCCGGATTGGTCCCTTTATTGTCCTTTATTGTCCTTTTATTGTCCTTTATTGTCCTTTATTGTCCTTTTATTGTTCTTTATTGTCCTTTTATTGTTCTTTATTGTCCTTTTATTGTCTTTTATTGTGCTTTATTGTCCCTTATTGTCCTTTATTGTCCTTTATTGTCCTTTTATTGTCCTTTATTGTCCTTTATTGTCCTTTATTGTCCTTTATTGTCCTTTTATTGTCCTTTATCCCATTTTTATCCCTTTTTTCCCTTTTTTTGTCCCATTTTTGTCACTTTTTGTTGCTTTTTGTCCACTTTCATCCAATTTTTATCCCTTTTCCCCCTTTTTTCCCCTTTTTTGTCCATTTTTATCCATTTTTATCCCTTTTTTCCCCTTTTTTCCCTTTTTTTGTCCATTTTCATCCCATTTTTGTCCCTTTTTATCCATTTCTGTCCCTTTTTATCCATTTCTGTCCCTTTTTATCCCATTTTTGTCCCTTTTTATCCCATTTTTGTCCCTTTTTATCCATTTCTGTCCGTTTTTATCCATTTCTGTCCCTTTTTATCCCATTTTTGTTCCTTTTTATCCCATTTTTGTCCCTTTTTATCCATTTCTGTCCCTTTTTATCCATTTTTGTCCCTTTTTATCCATTTTTGTCCATTTTTATCCCATTTCTGTCCCTTTTTATCCATTTTTGTCCCTTTTTATCCCATTTCTGTCCCTTTTTATCCCATTTCTGTCCCTTTTTATCCATTTTTGTCCCTTTTTATCCATTTTTGTCCTTTTTTATCCCATTTTTGTTCCTTTTTATCCATTTTTGTCCTTTTTTATCCCATTTTTGTCCCTTTTTATCCATTTCTGTCCCTTTCTGTCCATTTCTGTCCCTTTTTATCCATTTTTGCCCATTTTTATCCATTTTTGTCCCTTTTCACCCCGTTTCCCCAGGTCGGGCTGTTCACGGAGATCGGGCCCATGTCCTGCTTCATCTCGCGCCACGTGAGGGGGGGACACCCCAAAAATGTCACTGGGGGGTTGGGGACACCCCAAAAGTGTCACCGGGGGTTGGGGACACCCCAAAAGTGTCACCTGGGGGAGGGGACACCCCAAAAGTGTCACCTGGGATTGGGGACACCCCAAAAGTGTCACCTGGGGTTGGGGACACCCCAAAAGTGTCACCTGGGGGAGGGGACACCCCAAAAGTGTCACCTGGGGGGAGGGGACACCCCAAAAATGAAACTTGGGGGGGTTTGGGGACCCCAAAATCTGCCTTGGGGACCCCAAAATCTGCCTTGGGGACCCTGCTGAGCCCTGAAACCCCCAAATCCCCCCAAAATTTCCCTTTGGGGACCCCAAACCCACCCTGGGAACCCCCCAAGACCCCTCTGAGCCCCCCAGGACCCCCCTGGGGACCCTCCAGGACCCCCCAAGACACCCCCAGACCCCTCTGAGCTACTCAGGACCCCCCAGACCCCCCCCAGGACCCCCAAAGACCCCCCCTGGGACCCCCCCAGGACCCCCA